CTTTTCAGATTCAAGAATTTTTTGGGGGGATGACACCGGCTAAAAGCTAAAAGACAAACCTGGAAAGGTTTCTCTCCAGAATGCAACCGTTTGTGTTCCGTCAGGTGATGCTTATGCTTGAAAGCCTTATCGCAGACATCGCATTTGTAAGGACGTTGACCTGAAAGTATTATGTTTGCCTTTCAAGTATTATAACAGACTGAAATTTTTTACAAAAATTTGACAGTCAACACTGGAAAAATTAGTGATTACAAAAGATTCTTTCTCAAAGAATAAAAAGGGATGTACGTGCGAGATCATCCTATCGGTTCAACTACTTCGAAGCTTGAATCTCTGAGGATATTCCAGTGTTGAAAGAGGTAGGTAAAAGGATTCAACAATTGTCCTTTTTTTGATTCTTAAAGTGAAGAAGGCAATCCGCCGAAAAATTTGGCAATAAGTTATTTAACAATCTCGGATAATCATGATCCTCACAAAAATTGCCCTTACAATGCTGAAATTTATCGCCACCTGTATGTTCCATTTATTTTTTCTCAATTTCTTGTTTTCCAGGAAAGTTGCACTCAATGTAGCAATTTGGGATGCACATTCCCTATATTCAAAAACGGTAAAAACTGTCAGACGCAACGCTACGATTATAATCATTTTGGTTTTAAGGTGCTGCTCTAAAGCCCCATTTGAGGCGATGACTGTCGCTGATTTCGCAACCAGAGAATCCCCGCTCCCACACTTCGCAACTCATCAACCTATCATATTGCACCGAACACTTAAACCTCATCGGGATATTGTGCAAGAGAGAGCGAGAGCGGGTGTGTGCGCGCATTTGTGGTAATACAATCGGTAATTGAGCAAGAGGGGGACGATGAGACGGGGGACACTACCATCTGACACCGTATTCTAATTATTCGAGATTATCCTCTATGTAATCGTACGGATGCAAACAAACAAGACGGAGCTGGGACAATACGGAGCGAAATTACGGTAGGTAGACGGTACCTGAGTGTTCGTATTTGTGTCGAGCTAGCGAACTTTGTTTTCCAAACATTTTATCACATTGATCGCATGCGTAGAGACCTTCTTCTTCAACTATCTGAAAGTTAAAGAAAATTTTCAACTGCGCAGGAAGTTTCTCGTAATTGAAGCATTTACCTTGCTAATTCTATAATTATTTCGCTTAGAATCATTAGAACCCAAACTCATCGTCTCATCTGCATCATTTTGGTGCTAAAACAAAAATTTCGATGCTGTGACACCCAAGTAGGCAAAGTCTTCCTGGCTCATACCTCAAGGACATTTTGGATGTTTGCCAAATTCCCAACATTCAGAATATTGTACTGGTTGAACAGCATATTGGCAGTTGGCCAAATCGAAGACGTCACTTCCGTTTCAGGAGTTTCAGAAGATGGACTAGGATCACTGCTAGTTGTCTGTTTCAGTAATTGTTGGAGATTGAAAGCACTGCGATCAACAAGACCTAAAAATCAAAAATTGTTTTTGACCGCTTCAAGGAAAAAATACAGAGTTTCCGCTCATTTCAACTAAATTTTGGAAAGTTTTTGCTGTGACTACGAACTTTTCAATGGCAATTTTTGTTCAATTCAAGAGTCAGATGAGCCGACAGTTTGCATGCTTTCAAACTTTCCCCTAAGGTGACCCCGTTCTGGCAAGAAGCCAAGTTCAAGGAAACGGCAATTCACGGTAACATTTCTTCAAGTAGTGAGACAAAATCCGTTTCAGGTTCCTAATTTTG